GAGTCCTAATCTCTTGGTGCATGGCGCGCTGTGATAACTACAGGAGGCAAAAATAAAAACTCCGAAAAGCACAAGAGGGAGTGTCTGAGGAACATATATATCATATGAAACACTGGACTGTCTCAAACTGTCTCACTTAAGAGGCTAAAGGTCACAAGCTACCGGCTACTGGTGAAGCCCCCAGGACAGCTCCCTAATCCCTGAAAAGGCTGGTTATCATAGACCCACCGCCAACGAGCTTAAACCATTCGCAGCTTACGATATGAGTGTCGGCTTGTGACCATAAATACCTGCTGCTGCAGCCGCAGTCTGTCTCTGCCTCCAGCCTCGTGTAGCCACGTAACACAGCAAACCAGCAACAGGGCCTACTGTTTCCCAGAGTTCTTAGAAGAGACCGGCGCTGGTTACATAAACATCTGTGGATTTACCAGCCCCATAACTTCATGTCCTCAGCTGCTTAGGCTATATTGGTTAAGTACACTTCGTTAAAGGATGTGACGTCACATGACGGCCGATAGTGCCAGTAGGTCGCTGTTTTTAATGAGGCTGATGTGCTTTCATCAGGGGTTAAATAACATGTTAAATGTTCTGTTTGTAGACAGAACTAATGTCAATATTAGCTGTAATATTAGTTAGCTACTCTTAGCCCAGTAATAAAATCACTGAGATTAAAAACCATAGATGCACTGATTATAAAATGACATTATGTTCAGATATAAACAACCCACACCCTTAATCATCAACAATCAACCGCAGCAAAGCAGCAGTGGTCTCAATCAAAGGCCAGTGTGTGTCCCTGCTGCAGACCAATAGCAGTGAAGGCTGTTGCTCTGTACTTTGTATTTGCAGTGTCTAATGAATGGCACGGCGAGCAGTAGGTGGCCTGAATGGGGAACTCTTCATCTGTGGCGGATTACATAACACGTGGCCTGTTGCTACCAGGACCTGTGCTCCAAACTGTCACGCACAGCAGGGATATCAAATCCCTCACTGACAATTAGACAACACAGGCACAAAAGCTTTGTTTCTGCTGTGTTTCAGTGGATGGAGATTCCTGGGAAACCAAGCGAATGTAATAGCATGTTTCATTTTGTTGTTATTTTGTTGTATTTGCTGCCTTGCGGGTATACCTTAGCAAACAGCTGCTTTTGAAGTCCCACGCTCTCTGTGGTAGTGAGGCAGTGAGCTTCTGTAGACTCCAGTCTTAATAAAGATTGATTTATAATGGAACGAACTATTCAGAGAAAACCACATCCAGAGCTGCTGCTGATCTCCTATGAGTTCATGGGAGTTACCTGAAACTTGCAGTGTAAATATGTGCAGCTTGTAACAGCGTCTATAAAAGAGCTGCGCAGACAGGAGCTTTAGTTTGCACTGGTCAGGTTAAATTCATACTTCTGCTTCACAGTGAAGCCCTGATTAAAGCCGGCTTGGTTCAGAAATAATGATAATAATGATCATTTTATGATCAGATTTTGATTAAATTCATAATAGGGGCAAAACAAATGTCTGTTATAATTACACATTGTACAATAGTTCTGCAATACAAGTAAATCTTAACTTGTCTATATATTTCATGTCCTAACCTAAATTCTATTGAAAAATAGCAGTACACCGACGTGCAGTTCATCGTGGTCACTGTCCCTTGTGGGGGGCTCAGAGATACGTGTAGATATAGGTGATTCTTAACTGTCCCCTTTGCTGTCTAATCGTCTTTCTTTGAATCTTCAAAATTTAAATCAAAATATGAACCTGACAAAGATCGGACTAGGATTGACAGGTTGTCCACTGAAACAATTTGTGGTTACTGTGCATGAGCTACCTCTTTTCTCCTCTCTTCTCTCTCTACACCTATCAAACTAGGAGAATTCAGGTGTGCAAAATCCTAAAGGCACGACTTGCAGGCTCACCACAGACACAGCCAGCCTTCCCTTTCCTCTTGAGACAATGGGGCACTTCCACCCTACCTGTGTGTGTGTGTGTGTGTGTGTGTGTGTGTGTGTGTGTGTGTGTGCTCCTGTGGCTTGTGTTCCTGATGGGCCCCAGATGGGTACGCAGGCAGGCAGCTCCTGCCTTTTGGCTTTGACATGTGAGCGAGCAGCCAGTCGGCCCCGGGTCACTGCACCACACCTTTCCTCTCTCATCCTCCCTCCTCCCTCCTCCTCATCCTCTCTCATCCTGACTCCCTGTGAATCACGTGCAGGACTCTGCCCTTTTCTCCTGAATTCAACAACTTTCTGTCTTTTTTTCCCCTTGTTTCAGTTCAGTTTAATTTAACGGCAAAACTCTGCCTCATTTGTAAGGTTAAACACCAGAGAAACACAGAGACGTGGTTAACAATTAGAACCACGATGGAAATTGATGGGTGTTTATACTAAAACAAATCTGTAGCCGTTCCTGCACTGCTCTTCCTCTCACTGTAGCGGTTTCACTTGTGCTTGAAATGCGTCAAACTGCCTCCGATGTGATTGAAGCACAGTCCTTTTTAAAGAAGCACTTTGAAGCGCTCCCTGTTGGTACGGGAGAGCTGCCCACCACAGCTCTTACAGAACCTACGCACATCATATGT